TACTACTAATGAGCCTTTTTAAAATATAGGAGCGAAGAGCTTGTGGTTGTTCTCAATTATTGTGCTGATGTCTGGTAGCAGTTCTGCTTTACCCCAGTTGGCTGAATTGCAGTCTTCGGAATCATAAATGCACTCGAACTCGTAGTTGTTCAGGTGTCGATTGAAGACGATCAGCTTCATCATTTCAACGAAGGGGAAGTAATCTGGTTAGAATAGATGTTGGTGAAAGAGGAGGACTTTGAGTTTAGGATTCAAACAAGCAAGGTAGGCTATGAAAACTTTCCTTTCGTTATAGATGATGCCATCCATCAGCATATTTGCACAGTGCATGAGCTCATCAATGTAGGCGTAGTAAGTGTTGTAGTTCCTCCTCTTCTCTCTCTTGAAAATCACAATGTCATTGAAGGCCTTATCTTCGCTCTTCTGCTGATAGGTGGAGAAGCTCTAGAAATAGATATTATTATCATCGTCATCGTCTGTATACCTGTGAGTTTTGAACTTGTGGGGGAAGTACATGAATCAGTAATTGCCTTGGAAGAAGTAGGGAGAACCCGAGGTGTAGTAAGAGAAGCCATCAGGGCAGTAAGTGAGAACATCTGAAATAGTGAGAAGCATCTCCTCTAGTACTGCCATTTCAAACTTAGAATGGCTGTGTAAAGAGAGGGTTATCCAATTGTATTTGATATACTCGGAGTCATTAGGATATCGGGACAGTATATCTGACTTGCTTGCTTTCATATTATCTTTCCCAGCTGGGGAATTAAAATTTAGGAGATTTCCAGAGGTCTAACACAAACAGCTTCCCTTGCAACTTCTTCCCTTTGCAGTTATCAGGAATGGGATGCAGTTCAGCATTCTTTTTGTTTTTACATGCCTAGCTTTTTCGCGATCTCATATCCTGGTTCTTGCTTTAATTAATGTGTCTTTCATGCATCCCGTATTGACGAATATCGACATTGTCCTAGGTAAGGTACTAGATTTTCAGAACTGGACTGTCTTCACGTACCCTCAAACTCTACTTCAACTAACTTAGGAAAGCTTCACATTCGTGGCCTATTGCTTAACTAATTGCAGTATTATATTTCTTAATATGATTCTTTGCACTAGAGAGGAAGGTCTTTATCTCTTGAAACGAGTAGAACTTCTTCTAAGACCTGGCTATGTAGTTGCTTTTGGCAGGTGTAGCAACGTTGATACCCTTAGAGTAGTCATAGAGAGTCTTGAACTCATTGAGAATTTTCATTTGGCAACCTACTTTGGAGTACCCCAGGCAAGCTTTTTGATTGGCC